ATTTCTTGAAGGAAGGACGCTTGTCATGATTATTTGTAGATACTGGTATTTCAAGTATGATATTTAAAAGTGTAAAAGTTTTGGTTGTTATGGATCAAGGTTACACTAATTTGCGCAATTAAAACAAATTTGACATCACTACTCAAAATGTATTTTTCAAAAGTATACTCCTTAAAATAATTTAAAGTTCACAAGTTCATTTTTTTGCAGGCTCAATTACAATGAATAGTTGTTTAAAAAATTGGTTGCCTAATGAATATCTTCAACTAACGACTAAACAGTATATCCAATGCCCTAGTGACAGGTTTGTTCAAACCGAGTGATTTCTTCGAGCTCACTCCTTTCTGTTGATTTACGGTTCTTTGTCATTGGTAATGTCATATTTCACTGTTGTCTATCAACTGCACTAATTCTAACTAGAGTGGTCAACACCTAAGAGTCCAAATGCCTGGTCATTTGAGTGATTGTGTTTGCCTCAGTGCAACAATGTTTTTATGTACTAGTAACCCCAATTTATATTTATTTGAATATCGGATCTCGTTTTTTGAATGATTTTACCGGTTTGGATGAAGGACCCGTAAGGGAAACGGGTCTCCAGACGTATACTATTTAATTTCGGTGTTTAACCTTACTAAATAGTTCGATTAGATGATCAGTTTTAAGTTGCACGAAGAGATTAAACAAAATAAACCAAAATCATAAATTGGTAAACGGTTAGCCCATATTAAATCATATCATAAGCTTCAGTTAGTCGATGAAAATCAAGTTGATGCTTTTCACTCTGTCTTCATAAAAACGGCTGAACAGACATTTTACCATTTTCGTTCCGCTATCGAACGCGTTCTATCATGTCCACCTCATACATAAAACAATGAATCACTGCTGGAGTCCTATATTATAAATGGGGCTTCACAAAAGTCGCTAGCTTGACAACGATCCAGGCTAGACTAACGAGTCGATATTTACTAAGTTTCTTCTTCCCGCTTCAAAAACGTCTGGTTGTTTCGTCTATGCAGTCTCTTATGAGTTTATACTGTCAAAAAGACATACCAAACGGTATTGTCAGAAGTTCGGCAGTTATGCCTGTCAGGGCTTTCATAATCCTGTGACGAATATCCTCATGACCACTGGACCTCTCTGGTTCAAGATGCTGAAGTAATCATAAGACAGTTCCTCTTCAATAGCCAGACAAACATTCGACAAGCACCCATCATCACGATTCATTGTTCTTCTTTTAACATTGTTGGTAGAAAACGCTTTAATAAATATTCTGATAAAAATTCAGCTATTCTATCATCAATTCATGCCAATATCAACAGATTTCCTTGTAACTGCCTCTTTATGTACGAAAACAACATTTTCGGACTATTTTAACTTTACCTGATTAGTTGTTTTTATATGAATGAATAGACTTAATTATCAGCGCTTTTTTCCAACCTTAATAGTCATATAATAAATGGATCCATAATGTTCAGATCTTGTAGTAATAAATATATTTTAATGCTTTTTCAAGCTTCTAGGAAGGCTATTGACCGATTTAGTTATCAACGGTCGGCAATTTTCGGTCTTATGTGGTTCCAAACATGGTATAGACAGTGATGCAACTAAACTAACTGTACCTTTAATTATGTACCATGCCAGTATCCACTTATCAGCGCGTTGTCACAGAATATTTCTAAATAGCTGTTACGTTTCTACTCCACAAAATTTGGGTGAGGTCCAACCCGATCGCATATAGTGCCACAAGCTGGAAACATGAAATGAAAAAACGTCATGATCGCTATTTTCTAAATATGGCGAAATAGTGAGATATGCGATTTGAGTGATTACAAAGTCTAACAAAGTAGGTCCTTAGTTTCAGTTCAAATACATGGATGTGGATGCATGCATTATCAGAGCATGTACGATTGATGTCATCAGGAGCCTACTTTCAGTAGGGTTTTCAGGTCCTAAACTCGTCATCCCTGTCAAATAAATATTAGGCGCATTAAAATATCAAAATATTAGGCATGTGTAACGTTTACTTCATAGCTGAATATGTTTTAGAGTCTTCAGCTAAAAATATGGAGGTAAGATAGATGATACCGAGTACAAATGTTCAACTTTCAAAAGTGAGTTTACTGCTGGGGACTTCACCATTCCCACTATCATGAGATTCACAAAAGGATGATTTATTCGTCATAAGCTGTGAATATAAGAATCCCACCAGCTTCTGTGCATCTATTACTATCACTTCTCAAGTATTTGTATCACGACAATTCTAAATTGACATCAAAGTAATGGACCGACCGAGTCTTGGTCATGCTACGATAAGTGACTTCAGTTCAGTCCAAGAAAGGGATCTCCTAGACCACAAGCATTTGTAAATAAAACGAAATCATACAGGCTTCAAAACATTGACTTCCAAGATCTGACCACCCAAAAACCGGAAGAGCTGTGATCTACATTTTGTCAGCGCGTTCCTAATGAAGAAAATTTCAACTTCATTTTTATTCTTCTTCTAGAAGTATGTCAAGTGTTTTTCTACGGAGGGGCTTCAGACGGAGTTTTAGTTACCAAGTAGAATGCTACAAATAAATGCTTCGACTTTTTTCTAAATCGTCTCCGTTTCTAGTGTCTGAATCAGGGTGGTTTGATTCTGGAAAGCCACTTGCACTAATATTTGATGCGATCACACTTTTTCAGCAACACTAGAGTCAAGTCTAGTCTCACTTTGAGACTTTGAAGGCGTATTCCATGGCTCAGAACTGAAGTCTATCCAAGTTTTATTGGTTAAATGTATGTTGTCTGTGGTTTTTTCCTGCTCTTCCATGTTTTCGCACTTTTGTCTATTTCTCGTCTGTGGCTGATCCCAGCTAAAGAGCCTACTCACGATACAACAAATACGCAAAGTCACCAATAATATATCAAAAAGAATTAACACTACAGATCTATGAGTATTTCTAAGAGTAACACAAAAAGGGAACACACTACGGTTACAATAGAAAACGGCATATTTAACAATAAAATGGTAACAGTTTTTATGAAATGAATGTTACTTGTGAGCAGCTCTCTGAAATAACTACCACAAATTAGTTCACTTGATTCATAAAAGTTCATCTGCACGTAGTGGTACCAACAGCAAAATGAAGAAGAATAAATCCGATAGTATGATTTAATAATGATCCGGGACCAAACTCCAACCTAGTGTGGAAAAGCCTAAAAGAATGTTAAAAAACTATTATAATCTTCAATCAAATGCCGAGGCCAGTAAAGCATAAGGATAGATGACAGAGATAGCGTGTATATTTCAAAAGTCGCGGTAGTGCATGTGTCTTAAGGAAAACCAAACAACTCTATACGTTTCTTTTAATATTGATACAGAGAAACAATAGATATTGAATGTAAATGTGGTTGGATATTAAGTGTGAGAAATAGGAAAAATACGTTGTCTTTATTTTATCGTTAAAAAAATTCGGTGAATATACATGTCACAATACGTCACTCAAAGCATACACATCGGCTCTGCTATGAACTCTGGCCGTTTTAGCCTAGTAGAATCATAACCACTAACATCTAGTGGTATGCCTTCCGATATTTCAATGGACAGTTTCTTTTCCCATTTTGAATGTTCGCCTCGTCCTATGACGGCATATGCAGCAACGACATATTCTCCTCTGTCAGCACACACGTTACCAGTACAGGCATCACTAACATTTTTGAAGGCCAATCGCCTCCATGATTAGGAATGTCTTTTATATCCGAATCAAAGTCAGTCTTCCAGTATCTTTTTCGTAAGGCAAGATTTAAACGAGTGCACATCTTGCAAAACTACTCATACTGCACTTCCTCCTCCTAAGGGAAAAAAAGTTTGACTATCCAAACTTATAAGTACAGCCGACCAGTGTAAAGAGGAAAATGTTGGTAAACATACACAAGATGATCCCCAATGCATAAATCGGTTAAAAAAAGAGTATCACAAAACGGATGTATGGAAAATTTTAAACTATAACCGAAGTAATTCTTATAAAGTAGACTAATCATGCATTCGATGTAATAAATACAGATAGACATAGTTATCTGTAATATGTATGGAATCGGTGTCTTTCTTTGAAACTTTCACTAGGACAAGGCGTTTACCCGTTTGAAAAAGACGCTATTGTTTTGGATCAGCTCAGTATGTTTTTAAGAATCCGATAAGGTATACTTTAATGTTGGCTTTAAAAGTGATATTATATCAACAAACAAATAAACAACGGCTTTTCGCTTAGGATTTTCTCTTGTTAGTAATAGGATCAGATACTATAAAATCTCCAGTCGTTTTTGGGAATCCCAATTACTTAAATTGTTTAGAAGTAAAAGTTTTAAAAATGGCGGAAATTTCTATAGCTTTAGTGAAAATTCAAATTAAGTCGAAAAAGGACAAAGAAACGAAACAAAACTAAGGCATACAAGAATTAGGTTTTATATACATTGATAATGAATTCAGAACGATTAAAGATGCCGCAGGTATTCGGAGTTTGACGACTTCTTTACATGTAACACCTTCAGAATCGAAGTATGTCAACGCAGTGAAATCAGAAGTCAGAAATAATGAGGTTTAAAGACATATTTGGAAGGCTATCAATGTATCAGATAGTGTTTGGTTTTGGCTGGCCAGCAGTTGCAAGGGATGCGTAGCACATCTTACCCACTCGTGACCAAACACATTGTAGTGGATGTCGAGTCGAGGACGGACTATGATCACCACTACAATTCGATTACGCGCCCAAAAACGTCTCGTAAATCAGAAAGCTTCATTAATCCAGATCAAGTATATTTATTGGCGATCTTGTGGTATCAAATTAATACCGAGACGTGCCAAAGGGTACAGGCGAAATGGGCAGTGCATGAGCAAATTCGAACTAAACAAGGCGGATAGCGAAACAAGAAGTGAAACTGATACAGTTAAACAAATACGGTAAAACGATCTCTGGTACAATTGGTTATAATAATAATTGTTTCTGTTATTCCAATCGTGTTCTTATCGAGACTGGCCGGTCACTGCAACATTAACTAGGGGTGTCCAGCAAAGCTAATGAGGTCAGCATCAATGTCGAAGACTAACAGAACAAATTATTTCGGGGATTTGTTTGATGCTATATGATGTCATCTTGTTCTGTTTGTAAATTCGATATTTAAGATAGTATCCAGAGTCAGAATAATAGCCTTTCAAATGGCTGACATCGTACAGTATATATGTGGCAAGATAGTTTTAACCGACTGATTTGTTTTTGCTCGCTTCATGATTTCGCGGTATTGTTCCAGGTCGTTTTATCACCTAATATGTGAAGTCTGTAACAATTCTAATAAACTTAGTATCTATCTAAGTATTATTATTTTTCGGAGTAAACAGGTGTGTTTGTTTTAGGGCTGTGGGGAGTTTTAAAACTGAAGCAACCTTAATATCAAACAGGAGTTGAGTTTTTTGCAATATGGAAAATTGTAAGATAAGAATTTAGAGGATCGACAAGAAGAATTGTTGGTAATATAAGAATGAATAGAATGTTCCTCTAGCGGTGATCGTATGGAATGTCTTCGGCTCTTCATGGGCGTCTTGAGGCTTCCTTGAGTTTGCCAACGAACCATGCCTACAGTAAATATGTAAATAATGTAAAATACACCTGTAAAATTTTATATTTGTTCTGAAACATTCTGAAATTAAATTTCCTCAAAAAGTGATTACACTAATTTGTAATATTTTTTTGATAATGCTGATTTAGAATAAGAATGCCTTATAAACAAACAACATTTTTCATACAATTACATATATTGGCGTTTTGTGTTAAGAAATGTAGTTATTGCAATAAGGCTCTTCAGTTTTTGCTAAATATTCCATTCGATGCTAAAAAAAATGAAGCTCTAAACCGACACTACTGAAAGTCTGTAATTGCATAATATAAATCATATTCGTCTAAATCATTGTGTAATATTGGTTAGACAACTAATGCAGGCCAAGAACTATTACACAGACGTTTTGTTTTTGTATAGTACTAAGCAGTGAAAATCCAGAACCTTCGGTCTCGCGGCGATCGCTTAACGTTCAGACTACTAAGTCACTATCCTTTGGTTCATATATTTCACTTCGATCAAACTGCAACATCACACGACCATGTTCTATTGTACATGGTGGATAACTGTCTCGCAACCAATATATGTGAACCACACTATTCATGGCTTCTCATTAGAACTCCAGAGATTAACTCTGAATGTTAGTTACTAACAATTTCATGATGATATTTAGTATAAAGAGGTTCGTGGAAATTGTTATATCTGCATAGTTCACAACACAGTTAAGTGGTCACTGGGATCCAAGATACCCTGGATAGCTTTTTTGTACTAGTATAAAACTTTTCAGGAGCGAGCATTCATGATAAAACAGTGGGTTAAATTAGGGCCGCTTTAGTAGTCTTGAGGTCAAGAGCTAGTCATCACAGCAGAGGCCTAGACCCGATCCTTGCTAGGTTTGTAAATGTGCACTGCTTAGTCTCATACTAAAACAGAACATCTGTGTTGTGCCTCCTCCTTTACAATGGACATGTAAATAAGATCAATCGTTAATGTAAACTATGAGGATTCAAAAACTTCAAAACCTATAACGTTAAAAATATATGTTTCTAAGTTCATAACAAACTGCTTATAAAAAAGCGTATAAAAAGGATAATCTGTAAGATTTCTATAATTATGGGTAATATGTATATTAGATAATGCGTAAAATTTAGTCAATGATCCGTGTTTACTCTGTGAAGCTTTTCATGAAACAAGTTAAAAAATCATGTATTTTCTCTAAATCAAGTTGTAGGATTTATTTTGTCCTACAGATATACTATTAAAACTGTAAACGCGATACTGGCGATCCCAGAGTCTATGTGAAAGCTATAGTCAGAACAAGGACAACTTGGCTTTAAACTTTATCTGTTTCTGAACATAAAAACAATTAGATTAGTACAATAATAAAAGAATTACAGTCATTAAGTGAAACGCACAAACATACCGACCAGTATTGCGTGTCTTAATAAAATGAATAAATTTATGAGTCACACTAATATAATAGGATAATAATGTCTTTCAATTGGTAGGTCACATGCAACAGGGATAGTTTACAGACACATCAGACCATGTTAACGTGGTGGGAGCTTAAGCAACGATTTGATTGGTTAGTTATGGACATAACTAACATTCCCCCCCAAGCGAACACCACATCCAGGCTTCATTACTGTCACGTCTATATAATCGGCTTCTCCAAAGAGACAGTTTCCGCATATCCCGGCTGATCTCTTCAGTCGAACTGTTCTGACTCGTCCATTTGGACCATAATTGACCCGTCTAACTATAGCTTTCAGCCACAGATTCCTTGGTGAGCCAATATTGTTTACTAACAATAAATCTCCTGGTTGTAAATTCATTTTCATGTCCAACCACTTAGATCTCGCCTGAAGGGTTGGTAGGTACTCCCGTAACCACCTGTTCCAGAATAGGTTGGCTAGTTTTTCAGCTTCTTTCCATCTCTCGTTATATAAGCACGTTTTACTCATCTGCGCTTCGTCGAATGATACACCTCTGTAAACTAACAATAACTTATTTGGCGTAAGTGCATCCAGGTCATCACAGTCGTTAACTAGCTTTACGAATAGTCGATTGTTTATTATCCCTTCAATCTCTATTAAAAACATCTCCAAAGACTCGTCCGTCAATACCTTTTGAAACAGTAGTGATTGTAGAATCCTTCTTATCGACTTTATAATGCGTCCCCATACACTGCCTCGATGACTAGCTCTAGGAAGTTTAAAACGCCATTCACAACCTCTTTCTAAAAGAGCATTTGCTATCTTATTCTGGTTCCAACTACACATAATCTGTCTACGATTAGCATTGGCTTTTTTAAATTTATCAGAACCATCCTTACTCTTATTCACAACTCGCACAACGGCGTCTTTCCCAACACCATGTACAATACCACGGCGAATATGTGCTGTCTGCTTCTTCACGGTCTTATTTACTGACTTCTTTGTTAAAGTGACCTTTGGCTTTTTCGGTGTCTTCACTTTCGGCTTGGTGACCTTCCTTTTCTTAGGCTTTTTTAGAGTTGTTTTGGGATTATGATAACATGGTGCTTTTATTTTTGGCTTAGCAACCCTGAACTTGGCTAATAAAAAGGAACGATGAACTTGACACGAGACATCTTTAAAACGAGCATACGCCACAACACCATATGCGAATTCTGTGGCGTCGACAAAGCGATAAATCTGAGTAGGTAGTGGTTTGTATAATCCTAGTACGAGACATCTTGGAAGCAACAGTTTACTTAAGCGCTTCATACCTCTGAGCATACAGTTCCATCTTACAGAGCACTCTCTAGGAAGTTCGTCGCATGAAAGATTTAGCCGACAAGCATCTTGCGAAATTAATTTAGCTGGTAAAACAATTGGAGCTATAAACCCATCTGGGTCGAATATAGATGCTACATACGACAAAATGGTTTTCCTTGCAGGAGTCACATCCAACTTGTACATCCTGAAGATATTATCCGTTCGAACATTCCACTCTTTTCCTAGAATCCTTTCATTTTCTTCCACAGATAAACAAATATCTACGTTCCTGTCTATATGGTCTCCCTCTGAAATAAACTTTATTAATTCAACATTGTTGCTGGCCCACTTGGTTAGATTAAAACCCCCTAAACGTAACATTTCCTTCAGCTGTGAATATACTAATTTAGCTTCTTCCAACGTATCGACACTGGTTAATAAATCATCAACGTAGAACTGTTCCTTCGCTGTCTGTATAATACATTCAAGAAACTTAGCTTCGTTATCTAGAATAGTTCTTTGTAGAGCAAACGTTGCGCAACTGGGTGAGGAGGTCGCACCAAACAAATGCACTTTCATCCTATAGGTCTCTGGTTCATTTCTTATGTCACCCTGCGGCCACCATAGAAATCTAAGGGCGTCACGATCCTGTGACGGAACAATCACTTGATGAAACATAGCTTCAATATCTGCCATGAGGCCTATTGGTCGTCGCCGAAATCTGGTGAAGACATCTACCAAATTGTTAACTAAATCTGGACCAGAATACAAGTTTTTATTAAGGGATGTCCCGGCATATTGTGCTGCACAGTCGAATACGATTCTTAGTTTATTAGGCTTTTTCGGATGGAAGACTGGGTGGTGCGGTAGATACCAAACTCGACATCTAATAAAGTCCCCTGAAGCCTTTTCTGCGTAACCCTTTTCAACATACTGAGCCATCACATTAATATATTCTTTGTGCAACCTCTGGTCACGGATAAATCGGTTTCTCAAGGAAATTAATCTACTCATCGCTAGTTTTCTATTATTAGGTAGACTTTGCTGGTGACGCCAGGGTAAAGCTATCTGGTAATGCCCGTTCACTAACTGTATAGATTTGGACATAGTATCCAAGGCTTTACGATCTTCAACCGACATGGGCACACGATGGTTCGGGTCTTCTTCGAAGTCCATCTTATATAGCTGGTCCAATCTAGCTTCTAGTTCCTCTTTAGATGATAGATAATTTATGATACCCATATTTCTCGTGGTCTCAATGTAAGGTCCAAACAACGTCCACCCTAAAGGAGTTTTTATAGCGTATGGTTCATTAGATTTTCCCACCCTCTTCTCTTCTATCTCATGTGCCTCAGGTACATTGCAACCTATCAGTACCTTGACGTCTTCATCGTCAACTGTCGGGAGGGTCACACCACGCAAGTGCGACCATGATACCATCTGAGATGTTGTTGGTACCGTCCTGCGTAACAGAGGTAATCTCTCGACTGTCCATACCTTTGGAATTCTAAATGATGAAGAAGAATCCAGGGAGGAGACTTCTATTTGAACCTCTTTACAATGAAATGTGGACTGGCTATCTAGCGTTTTCAGTAAAAGCGTTTTGGACTCTCCCTCTAAACCCAACCTTATAGCTAGATCTTCTGTAATAAGCGAAGCATCTGAGCCACTATCTAAGAAAGCGCAAGTCTGAAATGATCTTTCTCCATTTTTTACCAATACGGGCACTATCGCAAATGCTACTTGTCCCTGTACATGCTTAGCACTTTCTTCCGTACAGAGTTGGGTATTAATATGGACATTACTGTTACTATCGCTCTGCTCCTCCCGCTTTCTGTGTAACAAGGTATGGTGTCTCCAACCACACCCATCGACAGCGCATGATCGCGGTGCTCGACAGTTTCTTGCTATATGGTTCGCCTTCAGACAGACATTACATAACTTCTTCCTCAATACAAATTCTATTCTTTCACTAACATCCTTATCTCTAAACGTTTCGCATTGGTCCAAGGGGTGGTTTCCATTACATAACAAACATGATAACCCAAGAGTTCTTGGTCCTACGTGTGGGGAGACAACAGACTCACTCGTGTTAGCAAACGACACTCTGGCTTTGTACTCTGAATCAAAGGGCCTTTTTGTAACGGCAACTGATTGCCTTTGGTTGCGGTTAGAAATATCACCGCTGACAAGTAATCCATACCTAGTATTAGCAATGTCTGATTGCTCCTTCACAAATTCACAAAGGTCCTTGAACAAAGGCTCTCTACCTGTCTTAAGAATCTTAGATGCAACTTTAACCCATTCTCTCTGCAAATGCAGTGGGAGTTTTAAGAACATACACTCGATGGTCTTTGTAGAATTAAGATCGGATACATAGTTCATCTGCGTGAGTGTGAGCTCACAAACATGCATCTCACGAGACAGTCTTCTTAAACCATCTGGATCAGTCCCCTTAATAGCAGGGATATTCAGCATCTTATCAATAAATGCATGGGCCACGATATGCTTCTGACCAAATGCTTCCTCGAGAAGCTCTAACGCCTTTCGGTAGCCTTCTTCTGGCTCAAGCAATGCACAGTGAACAATGGTAGCCTTAGCTTCACCATCACAATACTGAATCAAATAATTTAACCTAGATCGGAATCCAACTCTTTCGTCAAAACAGTCTTCGAAATTTCGTATGAAGCTCCAATAGTTCATGGGATTGCCATTAAACCTTATAATCTCTCTCTTTGGTAGGTCTAAAGCTCTAGATATCATTGTTATCCAATCCTTTTCAGGAGGAATATCAACTGCAGGTGAGGCAAATGTAGACTTGTACATCGCTTTGCCAGCCACAGCTTGATTATAATGTTCTCTTCCCTTCTGACGTAAGTGTTCTAACTCGATTTCTCTTTCTGTCTGAGTTAAGCGTATTTTAGCTAATTCTAACTCTAACAAGGGATCCATTCGACAGCTATTTCCTCCAAACTGGTCATCATTATGAGTGTCCGAATAATGGGGAGACAATTCAGGAATCTGATCCGTTTTATGATTCTTCATCGACATTTAACAGTACTCAATGTGTGAATTTTTGATGAAATACTGGTCGAAACTATGTAGGATTTATTTTGTCCTACAGATATACTATTAAAACTGTAAACGCGATACTGGCGATCCCAGAGTCTATGTGAAAGCTATAGTCAGAACAAGGACAACTTGGCTTTAAACTTTATCTGTTTCTGAACATAAAAACAATTAGATTAGTACAATAATAAAAGAATTACAGTCATTAAGTGAAACGCACAAACATACCGACCAGTATTGCGTGTCTTAATAAAATGAATAAATTTATGAGTCACACTAATATAATAGGATAATAATGTCTTTCAATTGGTAGGTCACATGCAACAGGGATAGTTTACAGACACATCAGACCATGTTAACGTGGTGGGAGCTTAAGCAACGATTTGATTGGTTAGTTATGGACATAACTAACACAAGTCTTAATAGAACTATTGTACGAATCAATTACACGTATATCTATATAGATGATATTTTTTTCATGCTTCTTCTACTTTCTAGTCTTTGAAATTGATGTATTTTTAAAGATTGTTAAATCAAAAGCGAAGTGTCTTGAACTGACACATGAAATGAGTTATAAATTTCATGCTCATGTTCAAAAGACACTATGAAAAGGTCGTGGTTGGATTTTCAGATCTATAACTGTTTCTTAACTGTATTCAACGGACTATATTTTAAACGAGAAGCAGTAACCAGTAGAGTTCGACTACGTCTGTTGGGAGATATCAGCTCACTGAAGACATTGGTTAATGAATGCTCAATTTCGTAAATTCGTTGAAGTTAGACATTAACACCATCGGATGCCGGCTCAGTGGTCTAAAGGTTAAGTGCTCGAGTGCGAGACTGATGGGTCCTGGATTCGAATCTCGTGAGGCGGGGTCGTGGATGTTCACTGCTGAGGAGCCCCACAATATGACGAAATGGCCGTCCAGTGCTTCCACGTTTTCCTTGGTGGTCTAGCTTCAATTGACTCATGATCTCAACTATAGAAAATTATTTAACCAAATCCCATGTCATTATTCGGACAGACACTTTGATATATTTATTGTAGAAATTTAAGTTGGGAGAATGTCGATCTGCGTAGAAAAGAGTAATTTGTAGAATTCCTACTAAGAATAACGCCTACGACATTTCTGTACAATGCACACTAGTCCATTGAGGAAACTGTAGCCAAATTATATTCCGAGGCTCACAATACATAAGTGGATGACAATCTTACTAAAACCATTTAGACATAAATAAACACCAAGAAATAGAACGACATAAAGTACTCGAACAATTCTGTATTAAATCAGAGGGAGTTTTGTGGAGAATTTAGTATTTTCACTGTTAAAATCATGAGTCAATTGATGCTAGACCACCAAGGAAAACCTGGAAGCTCTGGACGGCCGTTTCGTCCTATTATGGGACTCCTAAGCAGTGGGCATCCACGATCCCGCACTCGCTAGATTCGAAGCCATGACCTACCAATTATGTATTGTCAGTATACAAGAAATAGCAAGATTCAACGAACTCTTAATACAGCAAAATTGATTATTAAATCAACTGTTTATCATAGGGAAAGTGTGTTCTTACAGTGTCAGGAAAAATATTGTATCTAGGATGAAGAAAACTAACAAAATAATCTGAGTTTAAAAAGTCGACCAGAAAGAGATTTTTATCGAAACCTACATCTTGTAGTGTACAAATATAAATTCTTATTAAAGTCAACGATAATCGTTAATTACAAAAATCGAAGCTTATATGATTACACATTCTTATAAGATATCGAAAGATCACTGTGTATGATATTCTTGCTAGCATTATCCCTTTTGATTTCATGACAGTCATTTTTATTTTCATTTTATACGTCACTAAACAACTGATTTTCAATAAATGAGTATTACTTATCTAATATATCACCATTATTAGAATAAGCTAAATAAAAGAGTGACAATGTGATGAATAATTTGGTGATTAGTTATCATATGACGTTACATATGATCAAATGGTGTCACTCATGTGCCTATTCTCTCTCTCCCTTCCTCTCTCTCTCTCTCTCCATTGTTCTTGACTGAATGAAATAAAAGCTTCTTTTAATTAATAAGAATGAGCTAATGTATTTATCATCATTATTTTGTCGGCTGACCTAATACTATTTTTTTTCACTAAACTAAAAAAAAAATATGATTTCTTCAAGTTTACTTTTTATTAGAAAGTTGTGAAAAATTCGAAAAAATTGTTTTCTTAACTTTTTACTCAAAGTTTTACTATCGATCAATAATTTATCAAGTCACAAAAAAGTATTTGATGAACAAACGTAAACGTATGTATTTAGAAGGAGTTTGTGTGAAGATTTCAGTAATTTCATAGTTGGAAGCATGAATCAATTTAAGCTAGACCACCATGGAAAACCTGGAAGCACTGAACGGCGCGAGATTGAAAGGTCCTAGGTTCCAATCTCGCTAGACGAGTTCGTGGATGAGCACTGCTGAGGAGTCCCACAGAAGAATGAAAAGGTCGTCCAATGCTTTCAGGTTTTCCTTGGTGGTCTAAATTCAATTGACTCATGCTTTCAATTGTTAAAATTACTATAATATCCACAAAAACCCCTTCTGATATTAATCTCTTAATATCCTAATTAGTGAGATCTAGGACTACCATTAAGTCTAAGACAATTAATTGACATTTTGAGAAGGAATAATATACCGTATGGTTCTCAGATTTTACTAAGATGTTCTGTAAATTTGTGTTCAAATACTTCTTACTGTCCCCACTTGTGTTCTCGTTCACTACAATACAGATTTATTTAACGATAGATTACTACTATCTGTGATTCAACTAATCCATGAATATACCAGGTTGTATTTATTTTCATGATTAGCATTTTTTGACAAGCTAATGATTGGTTGTTTTTTAAATGGTTCATATTGACTGATAATTGTTTGTGTAATGGCAAGGAGAACAATGTTATATAGACTATTTCTTCCGATAAAAAAGTTGTTTTCTTACCAAGATGGTTTTTATCAAGAATAAATTAATTGGAATTCCGAATATTAAATGAAACCTTTGCTTTTATCTATGGTACTATCCTTAATCTTGATCAACTCAGTTGCAGAAGGGTAGGAGAAAAAAACTGACTAGATATTTGTATTGCTCAGTAATTGTATGATAATGCTTGCAACTTAAGCATATTTTTCATTATCCGAACTGATCCAGATAACGACATATGGGTGGTAATCTTAGCAAATTGAAAAATCAATTTACATAGATATCAAACAACATATTCTGTTTGATTTTGTCCGGCATATAGATCCAGTGAATTTTTTTAGATCTAAAAAAATGATATCGGAGTATATTTACCACCTGCTGTTAACTTCAGAAAACATCATGGAATAATTTGAATTGAAATGACTAGTCTTCAACAAACAAAATTGATTTGTCATGAGCTAGCGGATACATTTATGTTTATTTTCAAAATCAATATACCATTAATTACAAACATATATAGCCCAGGATTCTAATAAAAAGGGTTATTAGCTGAATGGGTAAACATTAGGTATTGAAAGATAGTGTGAATCAACGGAAATGTTTGTCAATTGTTGTGTAGGCTGCTTATATCAATATAAGTAGTATATATCGTGAGTCAGGAATAGAATATTTGGCAGCAAAATATTAAAAATATCAAGAAAGGAAAAACAGAAGCAGAAAGCAATTGTTGTGGAAATCCAGGAAGAATGAAGCCTGAGACAATTAATGAACATTTTGCTAATGAAGTATCACAGTATGATTTTTCTATTTTACCAAGCAACTTTGTTATTTCTTCTTAGTGTATAATCGGTCGTCCTCACCTGTGTTCTCCTTCACTGCGGTGTTTCTGCGGGCTGTACTAGCCATTTAATTGCTGTATGATGGGAGGTAAGAGGTGAGATTAGTGAATATTTGAAACGAATAAAGGAAGTAAACCATCTTATGTACACCGTTATCAGAGAGTAAAGTTTGAAATTAACTGTGATCAACTAGTATATACATCTCAGTCCCACAGAACGTCAGCAGTGTGCCGTACTGCTCATTAGAAATGTCTCTGACTGTTATGTTTGACAACATGTGTAGTGTGTTACAGGTACAGCTCTCTAACTAGAGCAAACTGTAATGGGACTTATGTTTAAAAATATTCTCGACTGCCTTCAACGATACCAGAGACATACTAAGCACTGATAGTCTTGAATTTCATGGAACCTTTTATTAAACAGTTTATTAAAGTTTCAATTGAAGCCCTTTTAAGATCATTTCACACACTTCTCTTGGAAAAATGGATTAAATATTCTGTTTCATATTTCGAAAGCTTGTTTATCTGTAACCGTATTGACTTTTGAATAATGATATAAGGTGTTAAAAGGGAACTAAAATAAAGACTGATTATTCAGTAATATTTTGTACTTTGGTAGGTCTCTATTAATCAGTTGCTTAATTGTAAAATAGTTTTTTTTAAATTACGTTAACAAATGAACGTCAGTAAGTTACTAATGAGATTATTAATACAATGGGTTCATGGGGATTATTGAGTATATTACGATGGTTGGGCATTGAATGTATTTCAGTAGAAGATCGATAAGGAAACAATGGGAACGAAGTTCAATTGGTGTGAAAATGCATAAACAATAATAATCGGAGACGATGAATTGATATTTACAGAAGGAACAGTGAAGATTGAGTCAACTGATTGATAATTTGCAAATTGATTGTTTACTATATGGTTGTCAGATTTTAGTCGGATAGTCTGTGATTTCGTGTCAAGTACATTTGATTGTTCCCATCCGTGTTCTCATTTACCATTATAATAATAAAAATTAAAACCACGTCTGTTGTGAGATATAAACTCACTGAAGACAATTGGTAAACGGTTGCTCAACTTCGTGGATTGGTTGAAGTTAGACATTAACACCATCGGATCCCGGCTCAGTGGTCTAGTGGTTAAGCGCTCTGGCGTGAGACTGGTAGGTCATCGGTTCGAATCTCGCGAGGCGGGATCGTGGATGCTCACTGTTGAGGAGTCTCACAATAGTATGAAACGGTCGTCCAGTGCTTCCAGGTTTTCCTTGGTGGTCTAGCTTCAATTGACTCATGATTTCAACTATGAAAATACTGAAATCTCCACAAAACCCCTTCTGACATAAATTAATCAACAATTAAGATTATTAATTAATCCAATGTGATAATCAGTTAGTTTAATATTCAATGAAATTTTAATAAATTCAGTTGGATATCTTTATTGTATTCTGATCATTTT